TAAATAAATAAATAAATAAATAAATAAATAAATAAATAAATAAATAAATAAATAAATAAATAAATCTTGCCTGCTCATCTTGGATTATTCACTCTAAATCTCTGTCTAGTCTTGGAACTTGTGATATATGTTTAGCATGTAATTTGCTTACAACATTCAAAAGGCTCATAGGCTCATAATTGCATTGATCATTCTTAGTGCCCTTTTATAGATTGGTACTCTCTCATTTCTGCCTCTTCCATAGTTGTTTTGCTCCCGTGTTCTGTAGCAACTATTACACCCTGATTTCATTGCATTCATTGCTAGCTTCCATTCAACAGGGCAACCTGCATAACCTAAGTTTGTGAGAGAAAAAACACTTATAAAACAAACAGCAGGCTAGTTCTTTCCATACCAAATAAACCCCATTAATAGAAAAGAATCATGTGCTTAATTGGATCTAAAAATTCAAGTCAGTATTGCACATGTTTTTAGTGAAGTAACCTGCACTGTATCAGTGACAAGGTGGAGCAGGTGTGTATAACCATTGGACATTGAATAAGTTGAGATCATCTTGTGGATCATTACTATAAAAGCTGAATGGCAGAGTGCTTAAAGACAATCCCACCTAAATTTAATATGTAGCAATGGCATACTCATACCTGTTTATTGCCTGTCCTCATCAGCTTACTGAAAAGTGAAGGTTAGGATTGAGAGTTATCCTAATAGTATTGGTTAAATTAACCATGGCTGCATGAGATAAATAGTTACATTCATTATTAATGTTATAGCTGCCTTTCTGCAAACAATATTTAAAGTGATCAACTGTACACGATTACCTAGAAAACATTCCTCCATCTGAGTGTTGTCCCTCACTTAGGATCATGTTGGCTAAGTTATTAAAGGAATTGAAAGCAAATACAAGTGAAAGACATCCATTTAGGAAGGGTGATTTAGAGTCCCTCCCAATTTTTCTTTTAAACATATAATATGTGCACACTTATTTATAAAAAAATGCTGCTAATATTCATAATTAGGGGTGGCGCTTATTTAGCAACCACAATTGGGATTGGCAACTTGGTTGTTAAGCAGAGTGTAGCTAAATGAAACTGTGACTGTGCTTATGGTCATATTTCTGTTTTCCTTTCAGACCAATTTGGAAATGTCTTTGTTAAAGAAATGACTGGGTCTTATGGGTAAATAACAAAATGTCATTATTCTGGTAAGATGATCAGTAAGGTAGACAATGCATGCAAGTGACCTGTGCATTCATCTGAATTCAAAGAATGATCTGAAATGGATAGTGAGTCAACTAAAGCAGCTGAGCATGTTTTGGGAAATCCCATTACCCCATTCAATAACCACTCTTGTAAATTACACATATATTTTTAATCTCTGTCTGGTATGGTATGGTACGGTATGATATGATATGATAATAATTTTCTTTTAGATGTGTTCAGGCCTATGTAAGCCAGAAAAATTCAGTCCCAGGGATCTGACCCAGGATTACATATTTCCTCCTGAACTGATGGTAGGAGATCAATCTTTTATCCAGCTTTTAAAGTTTTACAATCTTTTACAAGATTTCCTTTATTGTAGCCTATTGTCTTGAACTATGCTACTGATGGAACTCCATGGTATGATACAGCATTTTTTTTTTCTGATTCTGGCCATTCTGCTGATTATAATTGCCTCCTCTCAATTCAGTGCTTTTCTTTTCCATTTTTATGGCATCTTTTTTGGCAACTACATTCCCTATGTTCCCCCTCCCCCCCCCAAAAAATTCAATCATTAATAACTACTAACATTTTATAGCTAGTTGCTATAAATCTGTAAAACTTTCAATGCAATATTTATCCTATTTTTTTTCTTTTAACTATGAAAGGCCAGAAGGAGTTAGTTAGCAGATGAGACATTTAGAGCTGACTTCTTTCTTTTTAAAAAATATGGGGAATATTTGTCAAAGAGTAGCCACACAAGTGCACATTGGAAATGACCAATTTTTATTTTAAAATCTCTGTTCCATCTGCAGAAGTATAAGTGACTTTTATTAGCCTTTTAAAATAAAGCATAGTCTAAAGCTGCAGTTTTAATGGAAACTAAACAGTTGTTGGGCTCACATGGTGACCAAGCTGTTGATGCCAAGTAACAAATGTCCAAGATTGCAGAGATATTATTTAAACATGCTTGAAAAACAATCCTGAAATTCCCACACAAAGTACCACTTGTCCTGAAGCAGTTGCTTATGGCACATGATTCCCATGTCCATGCAAAACAAATATGGCTCTTCTGAAGTAAGAAACATGAAACATGGATGAATGAATGGTACTAGACTGAGTTATACATATTATCACTCCTAATGTGTCCATCAATCCATGCCCATCAAGCAGCAACTCATTTGGATATGTCATAGCCACAGAAGAGAGATAGAAGCAGTAGATGCTCTGGAGGAGATTTTGCTCTGTATAAAAGGCCACTAATTGAGTAACACTAAGAGTATGTACAGTCTCCATCAATGTTGCCTTTCCTCACAGAGAATGGCTGAAGAGAACAGGGGGAAAACTCTGGTTTTCAATGGGAAAAGGACAACATGGATTTCTCCTTCATCTCTAAAAGAACTTCTCCAGCTGAAAGCTACCTACCCACAAGCACCTCTTGTTATAGGAAATACCTGTGTAGGTAAGTAGATCAAACCCCATTTGTCACATAGTCAGACATGAGGAAATGTGACATGATGGAAGAAGCATAAAGCAAACTATTGAATGCATTCACTGAGAAGAAGCTGCTGAGTACCCTTCCTTCCTGTATATGTATATGTGGGTGGTATGGATACACTATTGCAGTAATAGAAAACAGAAGTTGCTGGAACATTGAGCTGTTCAGTGGTGATACAAAATGTTACAAGCTACCTTTTTAAAGACAATTTACCAGGTATAGACTTAAACAAGAAGGAGAATGAAATAACAGAAAGAGCTGTATTACAACAGGGAACAAAGAGGGAATGTAATTTGAATATGCTTTGTTTATAAAAACCAATCCCAAAGTCCCTAATACAGAAAATGGGCATGCTGAGAAAGTCATGCTTTTTACTGTTTTTATAACAGAAACATCAGTTTTGCTATTCTTTTTATTCGAAAGAGATCGTTAAAAATGTGATTCCCTTACTCTGCAAGAGGATAAATCAACATGAAAGCAATCTATCTTGGGGTTCCACATATAGGTTGCATAGTCCTCGTCTAGCTGTCTAAAATAGCTCTCTAAGGATAGAAGTAGACATGATGATGGCAGTTGTGTTTTCAAGCCCAGAAGTACAAAAGAACACCCTGAATGGCTTCAGGCTTATTATGTACTTACATGCTCATTCCTTTTCTCTCAAAAGTTTATATGCCCATATATGTTACTTCTGGTTGTCTCCAGAACTCATAACAGGTTCATCTGGCAGCTACTCTGCATAGTAAACATTTGCATAGACTGTTTCTGCTGCCCAAGATTTGTTTTTGCCTTCTCTTTCTAATTTTGGTTTTGCCTCTGATTCTAATTTTCTCCCCATTAGGGCTTGATAGGAAACTTCTGGAAGTTTATTATCCCATTTTCCTCCATCCTATAAGGGTTCCAGAACTGCATGTCACCAGCATTGAAGAGAACGGTACATTTCTATTGTAAAACATGTCCATTTCAAATAAGGGGCAAAAGTGATATAATTTTCACAAGTGGTCCTAATTTAGTGACCATAATTGGAACTGGTAACATGATCATTAAGTAAGGTGGTCACTGAGTGAAACCATGACTATGCTTATGATATTACTTTAGCTTTTTTTAACTTTACAGATCTGCAAATGTTGTAAATGTGAGGATCGGTTATGTTACTTTTTTCATCACCACTGTAATTAGGAATGATTGTTAAATGAGACAGTGGCTAAACAGTGTCTAGCATGCACGAATGGCAATAATAAGTGAGCTCCTTGCCAAAGAAGGTCTTTGAATAAAGAAAGGTTTAAAGGTGGTCTTTGCTTAATGACTGTTCATTCAGTAGCCATTCAAAGTTATGGTGGTGCTGAATGAATGGCCTGATCCCAAAGTCACAGCTGTTGTAATTCCCCTGTAATCCCTTGATCAAAATTCTGATGCTTAGCTGCCCACTTGCACTTATGACCACAGGGGAATTTCAATTCCCCCTCCTGCCCATTCCCCATTCCTGCAAAGTGCACACCTCAGTGGTGGTGGTAGCACCTGCAGTGCTGGATCTGAAGTAAAGACGTGGAGCCTTCTGCAGTTTCAGCTGGCTGCCACCATCCCCTGGCCGTTACTTCTGCTGTAGTGTTCCTGGCACTGCCGAGGAGTGTCATCTGAAGTCTAACCCCATGGTCAGCTACCACAGTGCTGCAGCACACAACCCCCAATGCCCCTGATATTCTATGCACTCCACTGGCCTACTGATCCCAGCTGACTTCTGACTTCTTTTTCCTCTGCTGTGGACAAGGCATGCCCAGCCTGACCCACTATGAGTAGTTGCATGCCCACGTAAATATCATGTTCTCTCATAATTGTTCTTTAGCAGAGTAGGCTTTACTTGTTATTCCATTGTAAAGGCTGCATATCACATTGCATCCAATGTAATGACAGCACAGAAATATGACTTAGTTGAGACTGCAGATCTGCCTGCCTGCCTGCCTGCCTGCCTTTCTCTCTCTCTCTCTCTCTCTCTCTCTCTCTCTCTCTCTCTCTCTTTCAGTTGACACTTTGCATTGTTATTGTTACTGTTATTGTTTCTAATTTTCCTATTAATCATGCTCTTTGAAAATTCTTTGATTTCAGGCATACTAATAGGAGCAGCCACCCGCTTTGCCCAGTTGAGAGACTTACTATTAAGCATTGTCTCAGAGCTCCCAATGGAGAAGACCAAGATTTACTGCACCCTCTTGAAGCAACTGAGGACTCTGGCTGGAGAACAGATCAGAAGCCTGGCTGTGTGTTTTCTACATGATTTTCATTCCCAATATGCACATCTTTCATCTCATTAGCTCTACACATCTCCACAAGCTATTCCCCAGCCTATTATCTCCAGAGAATATAAGAGCAGGATTCATCTATTTCTAGCAATCTAGCATGGACTACTTGTCAAAAAGTGGCAGGCAATTGTGAGAAGAGAAATATCTATGTAATATTTTTCTTCCACAACCTATAGAAAAAAATCCACTAGCAGGAAAGTACCCATTCCCATATTCAATCCACGTGTTGTTCTGATATCTAGCTTAGAGAGTTACAAGTCCATTTATTGGCCCCAACCAGGGGTGGGAATCAAATTTCTTAACAAACGTTTCTGTGGGTGTGGCCTAATTTGTGGGTGTGGTTTGGTCATGTGACTGGCTGGACATGGCTTGTATGTAAATATTATAAATATTTATGTAAATATTGATTTTTTTAATAAAAAAGAGCAACTTTTACCCAAAAGCAGGCAAAGCAGGGAGGCAGACTGAGTTCTCACAGAATCACCCTTAGAGATCTCTCTATCTGCAATTGGCTACCTGAATCTGTCACATAAAATTTGCTTGCAAGCAAACTCATAACATTTGCTAGCAAGCAAACTCACAAAATTAACTCACAATCCACCATGTATGTAAATATTGAATTTTTTATTTTTACAAAAGAGCAACTTTTACCCAAAGGCAGGTAAAGCAAGCAGGCAGATTGAGTTGCTCACAGAATCACAGATCTACTTAGAGATCTATCTGCAATTGGCTACCTGAGTCTGCACTGAAAAGCTTCAGTCCTAAGCAGGGGTGGGTTCTGTCCACCTCTGTAGAACCGGTAGCTCTGAAGAGCAGCAGAACTGGTAGCTGGTTCTTGTAGAACCGGTAGCTCTGAAGAGCAGCAGACATAGAACTGGTTCTATGTCTGCTGATGTTTTTGCCCATCCACCCGCCCTGGCTCTTACCTGATCTTTATTTCCTGATTTTTCAACTTCAGCTGCCAAACAAGGCACAGCTGCAGTTAAAAAAGCAGGAAAAAGGGCTGTTTCAAGGCTGCTTCTCCGCACGCAGTGTGCTGATGACAATCTACAGGCATGCGCGCGGCTTTTACATTAGCTAGAAAGCAAGAAATCCAAGGATTTCCTGCTTTCTGGCTAATCTAAATCTCCTGGCAGAGCAGAACAGTTGATGGTCGGGAGAAAAAAAGAAAAAATAGCAACTTACCAAGCCAGGCAAGTTGGATGGCTCACATGCCAGGTAAGGAGTGAGTGGGCAGGGAGGGGAGAGGCTAGCCAGTGGAGCAATTTGCCGGTTCTCCAAACTGCAGACAATCATATCGTGTGTGTGCAGCATTTGCAAGAAATCATCAGCTGTGCCACCTGGACAGCTGACAAGCACTGTGCTCAGGTGCGCAGCATTTGAAAATCCTCTTGTTTCCTGCTTTTTCAACCTCAGCTCTGCCACACAAAGCAGCTGAGGAGGGAAAAGCAGGGAATAAAGGACAGCCTAGAGCCCAGGCAGGCAGGTGGGCCAAACACTGAACTGATTCAGTGTCAGCTGCTCTTTGCAACTACAGGTTCTATAGAACTGGGCTGATCCGGTAGCATCCCACCCCTGGCCCCAACCAAGAAACCCCAATCTAGCAATTGAAATTCAAATGGTAATTTTTTTTACAGGTCTTTTCTTTTAAGAATTAAAGAAGAATTCTTGAGTGATTCATTGATTGGCAAGCTATACAAGCCAATTCAGTATTCATGAGACACAAGACTGATATTATTCCTAACCTCAAATGATAAAATGTGCATTGTGACATCACAATACAATTTCAGCCATTTTGTACTTGCATTGCAATGTTATATAGAAATATATAAAAGGTGAAAACTCCATTATCACAGTTTTCATAACATCCTCCCAGCAGGCTCTCCTATAAAATTATCAATGTTACAAAGCATTTACTTAAATAAATATAATGGGAAAAGTTACAATATGAATAAAAATAATCTAGACAGTAGAGATGAGGTAATTTTTATTGAATATGTTGCAGTAATTTTCAGCTATAATGTAGGAGACATTTGCATTAACAGATCCCTTTGAATTCAGTGGGACTTCTGAATACAGATATACAAGATTTTACTGCCAACATTTGAAAATTGCTATTATTATTGAACAAGGCTAAAATTACTGTTATATGTTGAATAAGGTTACTTGACTAACTTGATACTCTATGAATAAAAAAGACCTCTATTTTCTTATCATTGTATTTCAAATCTGTATGGAGATGTGGGCAAGAAGCAAATAAGCCTTATTCCTCAGTCTTTAGGAGGACACATTGTAAGCAGAGGATCCACCTGGGATTTGAACCCTGTCCTGGCAGCTGGGAAAGCTATTCTCTATTTGGCATCAGAAGGTAAATATAAAGCATCCTGATATTTGTATTTATGCGGTGTGCAAACTAGACTGCCTAATCTTGTGAGCCCCATCTGTGTTGAGCCAACAGCCATACTAGCTGTGAATTCTGACGTTCTAGTCCCAGCAAACTTAGAGGGCACCTGATAAATGGAAAGGCTGGTATATTCCCATAAGATTATGGGGTAATATTGCAATTATAAATATTATAAGTGTTACTAGTGACCTCTCACATTTTAAATGCTAGAAATAAATTAAAGCATGCTTAATTGGTCTCAGTTTTTCCCGGATGCTGCAAATAGCAGCAATTCCTAAACAGTGAAGAGGATGGAAGGAAAGGGGAGGGGAGACTTTGCACTTCAGAAATGTACTTTGCTTCAGGGGTGGGATTCAAATTTTTTAACAACTGGTTCTGTGGGCATGGCTTGATGGGCGTGGCTAGGTGGCCATGTGACTGGGTGGGTGTGGCCAACTTGACATCACTCACATTGAAGGGCGCTTCTCCTCGCCTGGCCTCTTGTGACCATGGGAATGCTGCAACAGTTGTAAGTGTGAAAAACAGTCATAAGTCACTTTTTTCAGTGCCATTGTAACTTTGAATGGTCACTAAATGAACTGTTATAAGTCAAGGCTTACCTGTACAAAAATACAAAAACCTTCTTTGCTTGTAAAAAGCTGCCCTAAATACCAATCATTAGATTAAAAATACCTGCAAGCTGGAGTTACAAATCAGGCAGGGTGCCAGAACATCTTGAGGAATTAAAATAGTTCAAATGCAATGATAACTATCAGCAGCCAACTCTTGCTCATAAAGTGAAACCCTTTAACAGAGAGGTCATTTAAGCTCTCCAGAAAGAGTACACCCAGGAGAAGCAATCCTTAGATCAATTTGCACCACTTAACGACACCACCTAGTCTCACTCACCTCACAAGGAAATCATCCAGATTTAAGGAAAGATCACATGCCCCCCAAAAGGCAGTAAAAAAACAGTGCCAAGCTTGTATCCTGCCTCTTGGAAGTACAGCCCAAAAGGACAGTGCCAAGAACCTTTAAAGCAGTGAGGAAGACCCCCTCCCCAAATAGAAAAAGAAACTATGAGGCAGGAAAAAATTCAAACACAATACAAATAATTAAATCACAACAGTAGCTGTTGCTTATTAAACCAATTACCAGACCAAATAGACACAGGCTAGTGCCAGATTTCTCAACCCAGTTTCTTTTCAGGAACAGAGATTAACCTTTTTCCTTCCAAACAAAGCCGAATAGGGAAAATTATCCCATCAATAAACACAGGATTAAACGTCACCAAGCACAGAATTAAACTTCACCAAAAACTACTTTTAGACCAAAACTCAGAAAGGGTTTGTAAACTCATGTTTGAATGTTAATCTTTCTAGCTAGCCAAGAAGCCTTGCTGAATGTCACTCATCTTGGTTTCTTGTCATTAAAAACTTATTTCCGGCAGCTCTGCTTCATTATTCAATTATTTCTTCAAAGTGCTGATCCCTGCTGGAAGAACTCTAACAGGGGAGTATTTTTCCCCAAGAATCTCCATTCCTGCAGGCATATATAGTAGATTGGGACATAGAAAACTCTGGGTACAGTGTCAGTGGGAATCAGAGATCACGGCCAACAAATTTGGAAAAAATAGAATTATTCATTGTCAGCAGTCATACAAATGTGAAAAATTATTCAAAATGATAGAATAATTCATTGCCTGCGTAAATGCTTCTCTTGGGCATATCAGTATTTTTCTCTTTTGTGTGGTCTGACAGAGCACTTTCTCTCAAAATCATTACTTCCTCTATCAGATGGTACACGGAAGATTCCACTAAATGATGAATTCCTTGAACGAATGCCTCAAGCAGACCTTTTTAAAAATGAAGTTGTTGTCTCTGTTTTTATTCCATTCTCAAAGGAAGTAAGTCCATGCATTTTTCTCCATCTCTGATCACATGGCCTGTGGAAAAACTAGCATGCACAGTGTTGAGAACTAACCACACATTGTGGTATACTTTGTCCAGCCCATATTGAGATTTTTATCTCTTTTCCTTTTCACTATACTAGCATACGTAACCCAAATATTTTAGAAAACTGTTCCTCTCATTATTCAGAGTACAAGTTGAAACTGTACAAGGTTTGGATGGAGGAGAAATTCTGGAGGGATGGGGTGGGGGTTAGGTGGGTTAAAGTAATGCTATTCATAGGACTATAATATTAGTAGTTGGGCTCAATGTCTTGGTGACATTTTCTTGTTTAAAAGCATTAATTATGCCACATATCGCTTGGCTCTGTTTCTTTCATAGGCAGATGTTTTCAAGATAGGCATTTTTTTCACATGTGAACTAAATAAATGAAAGAAAGAAAGAAAGAAAGAAAGAAAGAAAGAAAGAAAGAAAGAA